TGTGCATCAGAGTGTCCTGTTAGCTTGACTTTCAATTTTTTTCCCCTGAATGTATCTACCTCTCATCAATGTTCCATAGTCAGATGCCATCAAACTCCTTTGTCTGGACAACTGCAAAAGTCTTCTAATTTATCTCCTTAATCTTTTTGTCACTGGAGCCAGTAGATTTTTTTTTCCTTTAATTTATCTTTATAGCCCTAGCAGGTTTGGCTCAGTGGATAGTATCGGCCTGTGGACTGAAGGATCCCAGGTTCGATTCCATTCAAGGGCACAATGCCTGGGTTGTGGGCTCGATCCCCAGTAGGGGTCGTGCAGGAGGCAGCTAATCAATGATTCTCTCTCATCATTGATGTTTCTCTATCTCTCTCCCTCTCCCTTCCTCTCTGAAATAAATAAAAAAAATAAAAAATTTAAAAAATGTATCTTTATGTTGAAAGTATTACAGATGTCCCCTTTGTTTGTTTGCTTTTTCCCGTTGACCTTTGGTGCATGGGATGACACAACAACTGAACCACACTGGCCAGGGCTCTCTGAACCTCTTGACCCTCTCTGTGCTCTTATTCTTTCTTCCTAACACTTCCGCCAGTTGAATTTTCACTCATTTACTATCTTCCCCACTTGAGTAACGTCCATGAGGGTCTCTTCTCTATCTCTAGTGTGTAGGGTTTCTGGGAAACCCCCAGGGGGGCTCGGCTGCCTGTCACAGTGTCCAGTAACGCAGGCAGGGTTGAATCATATCAGGCATTTATTGAGAAGGCCAACCACCAAGAAGACAGGGAGTTTACAAGCATCCAAAACTTGTCTTGCAGCAAGGTGCAGGGGCAGGATTATAAAGGGGAATGGTTAGAGTGAGGCTGAAATGCAGCTACATAGAGTCCTGGAGGTCCGCAGAGTTCAGCTATTGTTCTTGGTCATCAGTGATGAGATGATGTCTTGACTCTTGATGGGGTTGGCCTGACTGTGCTTAATGGTTTGTTTGCTTGAGGGGTACATTGTCCATTGTCTGCAGTTGAGTCATCTTCTCAATCACTATGTTCGTGATCAAAGAGAGTGCACCAGCCTAAGAAATGAAACTTAGAAAAACTTAACCCTCTGTTCACATAAGTATATGTATTCTAGGATTTTTAAAGTAATATGATTATTTTTCAGGTTAATTCATTAATTCAGGTGTTTTATCAGATTATAAGTCCTCCTCCTGTCAGTAGGACTTTGCTTTGCAAGGAGGAGCACTCAGTAAAATTTAAAGTTTGAAACAGTCACAGAGTTGATGAATGAATGAACTTTCAGGGGCAATAAGCAATTTTTTCCTTTAGAAAGAAGGGTTTATTTATATGATACCGATAACTTCTTTTTACCATTATGGTCAAGATGGGCTTAGGTAAGTTGAGGGAAATCACCATTCCAGTCTATATTATTGGATTTTACTTTAGAAGCTCTTACCACTATTTAATTTTATAGCAGTTTCATGTCAAATGTATCTATACTTATTATGTGTGTCTACCTTCTAGGGAAAATCTCATCGTGACCAACAGCTGCTTCTTCTCAGGAAGCACCTAGAAAATAATTATAGGAACAGAGATCGAAAATGGATTGTTTTATTTCCAGAAGGGGGCTTCCTCAGGAAGAGGCGGGAAACAAGTCAGGCATTTGCCAAGAAAAAAAACTTGCCATTTCTTACACATGTCACTCTGCCAAGGATTGGAGCAACACAAATTATTTTGAATGTTCTTGTGGCACGACAGCAAAATGGAAGTCCAGCAGGAGGAGATGTTAAAGAATTAGGTATGATGGTGGTTAGCATTTTTTGCCTTTGTTGGAATTAAGGAGTTCCAGATGATAACGTTGTTCTTTTCTATATTTATACTTTTTGTCAAATAGAAATGATACTCAGAGAGAAGATGAAATACAATGTTAAGGGTTTTTATTTACAAAGGTAGTTCATGCTTATAATAATTCATCCAAATAATACAGAAATGCATGAAGTCAAAGTTGTCTTTTCCTTACCTTACCTATTCTTACCCCTGGCGATTCTCACTGCTACAGTAAAAGCTCCTGTAAATATATTTACATTTTTGTGGAAGTATTTCTTTGGTGTAGATTCCTAGAAGTGGAATCGCTAGAGTAAAAGACATAGGGGAGAGAAATGACTAATTTGTGAAACTAAAAATAGATATACAAATAAAAGTAGTAATGAAGTTTTTTTTCACTTATAAAATTTAGAAAGCTTTTTTGTTTGTCTTTAATACAGAGAATGAATTTAATACAGTTTGGCATTATTTAGGAACCTTAAAATGTTGATAAATGACTCAGTTACTCACTGCAAAAAATTCTTATTAAAAGGAAATAATCTTTACTTTCAACAATAAAGATAAGTTAAAAGAAAAAAAAAAGAAATAGCCTGAAATACTGGCAAAGCTTATTACAGCATTATTTATAACAGCAAAAAAGTTGGAAATAGCCAGAGGGGAAACAGGATAGGTAATTATAAAGTAGCCATACAACAGAATACAACACAGCCTTTACAAATGATGTTGGTATTTTCTTGGCATGGAAAGATACTTATACTCTCTAATGTTAATGGACTGGGAGGAACATACAACCCTGGTGCAGACCATCTGAGCCCAAAAGACAGAAACAATAAGGCAGTAGAAAATGAGTGAAAGATATCAAAATGTTAACTGGGATTGCTTCTTTGAGTTGTAACATTATGATTTTTTTTCTCATTTCTTTTTTCTGTATATTTTAAAAAATAATGAGTATATATTACTTTTATGGCCAAGAAAAGGTAAATCACACTCAAAGATGCAACTGCAAATCTTAGACATAGCCTGGTGAATTGTGAAGATTTGCAGACAGTTTGTGCCAACAACATGAAGACTGTTATGAGCAAGTTTAAGACACTGTGACAGTTTGGTGATAGAAGCTGAAAGAAACTCAGTAGGCCTGTTTCCTTAGTAGCATTTTGCTATTTTTTAAAATATTCTTTAGACAAAGTAAAAATAGCAATGATAGGCCCTCAGAAATATGTATTTTTAAATGACAATAAGGACTAGACATAGAAATAATGTGATATTACACTGAGTTTTCCTTTTATTTGTTGTGTTGTTTTTTTCTAAGCAACTGCTTGGCAGACAGCTCTCTTAATCTTTCATCATCTATTAAGAAGACAACTTATTAAAAAGTCTTTTAATAGAAAAGGAAGGTTCAGAATAGCTTTGCTGCTAGAGAGACACTGTGGCAATGTCAGCCAAGCCAAAACTTGAAGGCGAAGGACTTCCAAGTAGGATTTGTTGCACTCACTAGGACTGGTGTTTTTAAATCCTTATATCTAGTCAGTCCCCTGTGATGTTGTAGATCTCAAATGTAGGGACAATTTTCACACTGATTACCAATGATGAAGAAAAATGTTTTTTTTCCTTGGGAATGAGACTACTTCTGCTTATAACCAAAGCGAAGTAGTTTATTCTCTTACCTTAATTAAAATTTTTATTCTGTTTAGGAAAAATAAGATATTCTAGAAAATTGTGTACTCTAAATCTAGTTTATTTGTATTTTACCATTTTTCTGTCTATGTTATGGTATTATGTATTTTATTTTGTTGACGGTCCATATTAGCTATTTAGGGATTTATTTCATACAAACACACCTGTCTTTGTGTCTGTTTTAATATTTAATCCATACACATTTCAAAGTTAAGTTGTGTCTAATTAACTTTAAATGATTAGGTTTTCTTTGTTGACTAGTATTGTATCATTTAATAGATATTAAAAAACAATTCTTGCGATCCCCCCCCCCGTGGTTTTATTATAAAATTTTTCAAACATATGTAAAAGTTAAAACATTTTTTTAATATTTTTATTGATTTCTTTTTACAGAGAGGAAGGGAGAGAGATAGTTAGAAACATCGATGAGAGAGAAACATTGATCAGCTGCCCCCTGCACATCTCCTACTGGGGATGTGCCTGCAACCCTGGTACATGCCCTTGACCGGAATCGAACCTGGGACTTTTCAGTCCGCAGGCCGATGCTCTATCCACTGAGCCAAACCGGTTTCAGCAAAACATTTTTATAGTTAATATCTATGAGCTGACCAACCAGATTCTGTAATTAACATTTTATTATAATTTGCTTTATCATCTCTCTGTCCATCTTTGTATCTATCCATGAGTCAATCTTGTTTGTTTGTTTTTTAATGCATCTCAAAATAAGTTGCAGAGATTAGTATACCCTTCAATATTTCAACATGCATGTCATGGGTAGCTTGTCAAAATGTGTTTTGTTACATAAACTCTGTTCCTTTAGCACTATGTTACTAAAAACATTTTTTAATTTTTTATAAGCATTACCCCCCTCAGGATGTTGCCTAAAAAAATTTAAGCATTTAAGTCCACTTTATAATTATTTGACATACAAAAGTAAAATACCATTGATTCCTTATGTACATTTGGACTTAGGTTTGAAAATAAGTTTTCTTTTTTAGGGATCTCACATACCTCAGATAAAAGATAGACATAAAACGTTAACATCTGGCTATCAGCATTCTCTGTGAAGATTCCCCTCTAATTCTTGCTCAAATTGTATTCCATGCTGGCAATAAAAACAGCACTTCCATTCCCTCTCACACCAGTAGTTACCTGTTATACTGACCAGGGCAAATAGTTTATTGCTTTAGTTGTATGTAACTTTTGCTACAATGGAAGGAGTTTTTTGGTTTTGTTTCAAACAAGACCAGCAACTGACGATCATGTGTGTCAATAAAATCTTTACTTTTATTGCCTTATTCCAATATTTATTAATGTCTCTCACAAACGTTGGTGTTCATACTATATTGTGTTATATTTAGTGAACGTTTTTGAGGCCATTTTTGTGATGTGATACTTTAGCTTCCAACCTTTTCATAGTCCAGTTTTTTATGAGTGATAAAATATAAACAATTAGACATTGGTAGTGCATAGTAAATAGTATTGAATACTTGAATGATACATGTCCAATACATAATAGTGCTGTGATTTGTTAATTTGTTTGAAATCTATTTTATAATATAATAGGAAATTCTTCATTCTAAATGCATCATATAGAACAGTAATACCAAAATTCATCCTGTTTTCTTAAAGCAAAAGTTCTATCAATATGCTTTATACTCCTCAAGTAACCTATACTGTTGTTTGTTGTAAATAATTGAAAAATTGACCCAATTTTAAGTTGCTTTTTCTTTGTTCTCAGACAGCAGATCAAAAGGTCTCCAGTGGATAATAGATACAACTATAGCTTATCCCAAAGCTGAACCCATAGATATTCAAACCTGGATCCTTGGATATAGGAAACCGACAGTCACACATGTACATTACAGGTAAGGATTCTATATTAGTACTGAACATATATCCAACATAAAGCACTATCTCAGAACAGTGTGATGTTTCAATATTAAATTTTTAATCCAATTTTTTTTCTGTTCTCAGAAAGATTGGCTTTTTGTTGTTTCTAGTTGTTTGGTTATATTTTTAAAATTTTAAACAAAGATGAGATTTGTTTTTGAGATGTTTTCAATTACAATAAGATTTTAAAATGCAACATTAGAAATCATATATACACAGATGTGAAAGATATAAATAACTGGCGTTAGATCTCTTTCTCTTTAAATCTAGGGAGGTTGGTAGGAAAAACAAAACAGCATTGATTGCCTCAAGTGGGAAATGGGTGCCCAGAGAGATAGAAAAAGGTGATCTGGAAACTATAAATTTCACTGAAAAATAGTAGTTTTGCTTAATGTGGGCTACCTAATCTTCACCTATAGGCAGATTTTAAAAACTATTCATAAGTGTATTTTTTTTCTGCAGTTAAGCATAATTTATCTTGAATATTATTATTAAGCCATATGGTGCAAAAGCCAATTTTGCTTTACATAATGTAGAACAAGTATTTGTTTTCTTCTTAAACTCGGCTAATTTAGGATAGAGAGATAGAAACTTGGATTGGCTGCCTCCTGCACACCCCCACTGGGGATTGAGCCTGCAACCCCAGCACATGTCCCAACCAGGAACTGAACCGTGACCTCTTGGGTGGACACTCAGCCACTAAGGCACACCAGCCAGGCTAACTTTTTTTTTTATTATTAAATAAAGCAGGCAGCCCATCCTAGGATCTTGATGGCCAGAGGTTCCCTGAGTTTCAGTGAGTGCATTGCTTGAGCACCGAATGATATACTGATTAAAAAAGTATTATAGAACTACAAAGCACCTTACAAATATAATGTACTATTACTAAGATATATAAAGTTACATGTATGGATTATTGCTAAATCCACTATTAGTAAATGAATCTTCCCCATAGATTGGATGTAAGTCACTTACTACTTAAAGATAAAAAAATGTATTTTCTTATTCCTGACTTTTTTTGTGTGTGACTTCCCAATATTATGTATTGTTTAACTAGGGAAATATTTGTGATTAGTTTGCTTACAACTACATTATTGATCTTTTTCAAGAGTAAAGCTTGTTTTAAAATAAGAGGAACTAAAGGTTTAACTCTGGGAAACATTTGAAGGGAACAACTTTCCTCACCCTCTCCCCTTTGTATTCCTGTCACACTGGAAAGCAGCTTCTCCCTATTAAAGAAGTAATGGGTGCGGTGTGCTGCTGTTAAGGAGTTAATAGGAAAATTGAACATGATTAGATTTTAATCACATGGGCACGGTGTTTATAGGGATAAAAGCAAAAGTAACCCCTGTCCTTCAAATAAATGTCTGCTTCACTTCAAGTCAGAATAGTGAGTTAGATAAGCTGATTGTCTTGTGCAGAAGGAGCTTACAATTTCATTGTCAAAATCTTGAAAAAAGATGTAACCGTGAGTGTAGTGGCATAGCTAGATTACCAGAAGCAGGTGTGTGGCTTTCATGTCTGATTTGATTGGGACTTTGGTTACTTTGGAAAAGGCATTCAATTAGAGACTTTGGGCAAGAATTTATTTTCAGTTTTGAGGGGAAATTAATTCAGAAAAGGAATATTTAATGTTTTTTAAGAAACTATGCTCACTAGCAAAAGTGGGCAAATACTAACATTTTGATATATTTGTCTCAGGACTTTATTTATTAATAAAAGAAATAAAGCATTTCTAGTAAAGTTCCCATTGTTTCCCTTCCCAGTTCCATACCCCTTCCCTCCTACCCTTGAAGCCACTACCATCATAAATTTGGTGGGTATTCTTTCTGTTCTTACACTTTTATTACACAGATATGTTTATAATATATAAAATTGTTTTGTATGTTTTTAAAAATGTATATAACCATACATGGGTATGTCATCTTGCAACATGTATTTTTCCACTCTGTTGTTTACTAGGTCTTTTTATTTTTACGTTTATGGCTCCCTTTCATTCATTTGAACTATAAACACTATTTAACTATTCTATTCCCATTATATGATTGTCAAACCTTACCTATTCATTCTGTCGTTGTTGGATACATATTTTCTCTGTCTTTTTGCTATTATAATAAGTAATATTGCAGTGAACATTCTTATGGCTGGTGTGGTTCAGTGGTTGAGCGTTGACCCATGTACCAAGAGGTCACCAGTTCAATTCCCTGTCCATGCCTAAGTTGCAGGCTCAACCCCGGGTAGGGGGGTGTGCAGGAGGCAGCTGATCAGTATTTCTCTGACATCAATGTTCTATCTCTCTATCCCTCTCCCTTCCTATTTCTCTTTTTTTAAAAAAATGCACTGCTATGAAATATAAGATTAGGGTTAAGGTACAGTCTTCTTTGAAAAATTTCATCACTATTGGGAATCTAAATGGTTTACTGATTGGTGTCTGTCTTCCCTGTTTAGAATGTAACCTCCATGAGAGCAGATACTTTGCCTGTCTTGCTAACAATTATATATTAGACTAATGCTAAAGTTCATGCTCTCTAGACATGCACTGTCCAGTGGTAACAGCCACTAGCCACATGTGACTGTTGAGCACCTAAAATGTGGCTAGTCTGATATGATGTCCTGTAAGTATAAAATACACATTGGATTTCAGAAACTAGTAAGAAATAGGAATGCAAAATATTTCATTAATAATTTTTGTTGATGACATGTTGAAATGATACTTTAGATTTGGGAAGGTGATTGGAGGATTAAATTTTTAAAATGCTACTAGAGAAATAACAGCAGGCTGAGCAATCCCATGATCTGCTGCCTGCAAGCTAGACAACCAGGAAAGCCAGTGATAGAATTTAGTTTGAGTTCCAAGGTCTGAGAAGGGGTGGGGGAAGAAAAGGTGATGGTATATAAGTCTATCTGAGTCTAAAAGCCCAAGAACCAGGAACACCAATGTCCTTGGGGCATAAGGTGGATGTCGTAGCTTAAACAGAGAGAGTGGGCTCACCCTTATTCCAACTTTTTGTTCTATTCAGACCCTCAATGGATGGAATGAGGCCCACCTGCGTAGGTGAGGGGAATCATTTTTACTCAGTCTACTGATTCAAATGCTTATATTCCAGATACACCCTCACAGACACACCCAGAAATAATGTTTTACCAGCTATTTGGGCATCCCTTAGCCTAGTCAAGTTGACACACAAAATTAACCACCACAGTAGTCTACATAAAAACCCAAGAAACTGAGTTCAACATCTGTTTATGAAGTTCAGTAATCTTGACAAAAAACCATTACAGAACAATCAATGGTATCCCTTTGTCCTGACAATAAATTAGAAAATGTAAGTTAAAAAAATACCACTCTCAGAAGCAAGAAGACTATAAAGTATCTACCAATAAAATGTAACAAGAAATGTATAAGACTTTTATGAACAAAAATAAAATAATTTATTGAAGAATATAAAAGGCCTTGAATATAAGTGGGAAGAGATACTATGTTTGTTCATAAAGAGGAAGACTCAAAATTATAAAGATGTCAATTATCCAAATTAATCTATAAATTTAACATAATTCCAATTACATTATATCCAGGAGGATGTAGAATCAGAGTCCAGGAGGATTTTTCTGGAAACTTAACAAAGTGGTTTTAAAATTTATTTGAGAGAGTAATGATAAATGAATAGCTAAAGTAGTTTTGAAGATGAATGAAACAGAGGCATTCTTCCTACCAGATATCAAGACTTAGCATAATTAGAACAGTGTACTATAAGGGCAGGACCAGATCAATAAAAAGATTAGAAAATCAAGATTTATTTTGGAACTTGTGTATGATTGAATAGGCATCACATTTCAGTGGAGAAAGAATGAAGTAGTCAATAAATGAAATGGTTTGGGACCATTGATTCTACATATGAGGGAGCATAAAATTGAAATTTCACCCTTTACTATATCCCCAGGTAAATACCAAATAAATTTTTACCTCAACATCAATGATGAAACTCTAAAGTATTGAAAGAAAATATAGGCAGCGCTTAGTGTTCTCATAGTAGGGTAGACCTTCCTTATAAGACACAAAAATCCTAAGTCATAAATCATGAAGGAAAAATACAAATTTGACTGCATCAAAATTAAATACAAATTTGCATCAAAAGCAAAAGACATCACAAACGAATTTAAGGTGTTTGAAATGCACATAGCAAGGATTCACATTGAGTATACATGTAAAGAGTTTCTATAGATCAATAATTATTTATATTAAGTTTTGGTGAGGTAGAGAAAATGAAACAAATTGGTGCAGCCAATTTGAAGAACAATTTGGCAGTATTATAAGTTCTAACTCTATGACATAACAGTTCTACTTGGGACTCTATATACATTCCAGAGAAAGACAAAGATATTAAAACATCATTTTTAGTAAGAGTAAAAAATTGGAAGCAACTTGAATATCCACCAGTAGAGGAATGGCTAAATAAAATGTACATTCTTCAAAGGAATATACTAAACAGAATTTTATATCTGAGTGGTTGACATCTTTAGTGGGGTGTCTATACTCATCTCTCAAGCGAAACTGTCCTAAAAATATGTACTCCACATAGCTTTCCCAGTCTAATTATTGATAGCAACTTCCATCCTTCCCGTTATTCAGGTAAAAAACATTGGTGTTACACTTGTCTCCTCTCTTTCTCTTATATCTCACTCAGTCTGGAAGTCTTTTTGGTTCTATATGCAAATATGTATCCTGGATCTGACTACTTTCTTTACACCTTGGTCCTGGCCACCATCCCCTCTACCCAGCTCTTAGATCACTATATAATCTCCTGATTGGTCACCCTAATTTTACCCTTGGCCCTCTTAGTGTCTATTTCCAGAGTGGTCTTTTGAAAATCTAAGATCATGTCAGCCTCAGGTTCAGAATTCCATAATGTCTTTACCCATCTTAAAAGCCAGGAGCCTTACAGTGGTGTCTAAGGCCCTGCTTAACCTGTGTCTT